TGTCCCCTGCATCGGCAGGCGGACTCTCAACCACTGCGCCACCAGGGAAGCCCAAAGCTCCTCTTTTATATCTCTATCTATATATACTATTGGTTATGTTTCTCTGGAGAACTCTAACACAGATTTTGGTACCAGGAGTGGGCTCAACAACTTCGACTCCCACTCACCAAGGCCAGCCTGGTTATGGCCACTGTTGAGTGTCCAATCTGCCAGCACAGAGACCAACACTGAGCTCTCAGTATGGCAGCATTCCCCAGGTGATCAGCTATCTACCTAGTAGCAGGTTGGTTACATTGGACTACTTCCATCATGGAAGGGGCAGTGTTTTGTCCTGCCCCTGCAGATACCTACGCTGGATGCAGATTTGTATTTCCTGCATGCAACGCTTCTGCCAAAACCACCATCTGTGGACTTATAGGATACCTTATTCACCATCATGGTATTCCACACAATACTGCTTCAGACCAAGGAGCTCACTTCACAGCAAAGTGTGGCAGTGGGCCCAGGCTCATGGAATTCACCACTTTAGGATGGTTACCCACCATCCTAAAGTAGCTGTCTTCATGGAACAGTGGAATGCCTTTTGAAGACTCAGTTACAGTGTCAGCTAGGTGGCAATACTTTGCAAGGCTGGGTCAAGCTTCTCCAGAACGCTGTATATTCTCTGAATCAGCATCCAGTATATGGTACTGTTTCTCCAGTAGCCAGGATTCACAGGTCTAGGGATCAAGGGGTGGAACTATGAGTAGTGCCACTATAACCCCTAGTGACCCACTAGCAAAATTTTTCTTCCTGTTCCCGTAACTTTATGCTCTGCTGGCCTAGAGGTCTTAGTTCCAGAGGGAGGAGTGCTTCCACCAGGTGATACAACAATGATTCCATTGAACTGGAAGTTAAGACTGCTACCTGGCCATTTGGGGTTCCTCATGCCTTTTGAGTCAACAGACAAGGAAAGGAGTTACTGTGCTGACTGGGCTGATTGATCCTGACCACTAAGAAGAACTGGAGTAGTATTCCACAATGGAGGTAAAGAAGAGTATGTCTGGAATACAGGAGATCCCTTAGGGCTTCTCTTAGTATTACTGTGTCCTGTGATTAAGGTCAATGGAAAACTACAACATCCCAATCCAGGCCAGATTAGTTCAGGAATGAAGGTTTGGACCACCCCACCAGGCAAAGAACCATTACCAGCTGAGGTGCTAATAAAACAAGAGGAAAATAGAATGGGTAGCAGAAAAGGGTAGTTACAAATACCAGCTAAGACCACATAACCAGTTACAGAAATGAGGACTATAATTGTAATGAGCATTTCCTCCTTATTTTATAAATATGTTTGTTTGTGTGTGTGTGTGTGTGTGTGTGTGTGTGTATATTAAGCAAATATCTTTGCTTTCTTTGCTATTTTATTTCATCATGTTACATAAGATGTATTAACTTTATATCAGCATTTAAGGACCATTAATTTTACAGCATAGCTTTCAGGTTATGGGATACCAGAAGATGAGTAAACATCCTTGAAGGTCTTTATCTCCTCTTCTGGGGGAAGGGATTCGTGCGTTTTCAGTTGTACCCAGGATAGTTGTATCATGTCAGGTGGAATTATGACCTTGTTATTGTCTTTATTTGGAGATTATGTTTAAGGAGATGCATACAGGTATCAAGTTGACAAGGAGTGTATTTGTGATGGTTACTTTTGTGTCAACTTGACTGGGCTAACAGATGCCCAAACAGCTGGTAAAACATTATTTCTGAGGGTGTCTGTGAGGGTGTCTCCCGGAGACATTAGCATCTGAATCAGTAGACTGAGTAAAGAAGATCCACCCTCACCAATATGCGTTGACATCACCCAATCCATTGAGGGCCTAGACAGAACAACAACAACCCCCAAAAAGGCAGAGGAAGGGTGAGTTCTCTCTCTGTTTTCTTGAGCTGGGAAATCTATCTCCTGCCCTTGGATAACACATAGTTGTTTTAAATTCCCAGTCTGATAATTCCAGCATCCCTGCCATATCTGAGTATGGCTCTGATGCTTGCCTGCCCTGTCTCTTCAAATTGTGGTCTTTGCCTTTTAGTATGCCCTGTAGTTTTTTCTTGGTAGCTGGGCATGATGTATTGGGTAAAAGGAACTGCTCTAAATAGGTCTTTAGTAATGTGGTAGTAAGGTGCTGGGGGAAGGGCAATGTTGTATAATCCTATGACGAGGTCTCAGTCTTTTGGTGGGCCTACACCTCTGCACTGTGAACACAGGTGCTCTTCAGT